GAAAGTATTTTACCATCATTTAATTTTTCACTTTTGAAACTTTTAAAAAAAATAATCTCTTATTAATTCAAATAAATCTACATAATATTTTAATATTTTTAATTTTTTACAAATAAATTATCATAAAAATGGCTGCCACAAGAATCGTTTGAGAAGATGCAGAGACCGATTACTTGGTTAAAGAAAGGAGAAGAAGAAATTATGAATATCATTATTTTTATCATGAAAATAAATTAAAATTTTGGCAGAGCGTCATGACAAGAAGTGGAAAAATCTAATAAGAGATTATGGGTAAGTAAATAAATAATAATATGTTGATAAATATAACTTAATAAGTAATTAATATGTATTCTTTAGGACTTTTGTGATTAGTATAACAGTGCGAAAAGAGAAGAAAGGTGGTCGTATAATGGGGAATAATTTTATGATCTATTCCGAACTAGGTTTTAGGATAGGCCAAGTAATTATTATGTTTAATTAATAGTTCTTAATAAATTTTTAGATTTATATTAAGTATCTTTTACATTTTTTAGTTACGAGGCATCATCGAAGGAGAGCCTGTAACGTGTTGACAGCGAACCAGTAGTTAGGGGATGGGAGTAGGAGGTTTAATTTTTTTTTGTTTTTTTTAATTTTTTTATTTTTTATCGAGATTTTAATTTTTTTTTTCATTTTTATCATGGGGGTTTTATTTTTTTTTAATTTCTTTTTTTTACCAGTGTGGGGTTTTCATTTTGTGGTGTTTTATTTTTTTATTATTTTTTTTTAATTTTTAATTTTTTTTTTTTTTTTTTTTATATAAAATAAATAATATTAATTAATTGTATTTTGAATCATCATTAATAAATTTTCTTACTTTTTTCTATTTATCTTTATAAATTGTTTTATTTAAGATTAATTCTAATTTTTGCATTATCAAAATTGCTTCAAGATCACTTTAGATCACTTTAACTTTAATCACAAAGAGGTTATTCTATAAAATAACATCATAAAATTAATTTTAATTATATCATAGTAAAATTATTTTCCTTTTTCAGTAATCATTTATTATACCAAATAATTTGTTATAGTAATAATGAATTTTCTTATAATGAAGGGCCGATCAGCCTAGATACTAACTTCATTATATTGAGGTGTGACTGTATGATATGCATTATATAGTATTAATAAAATTATTACTTTTATACGAATATATCATTAATTCGTATATAAGTAAATCAGAATCACTAAATATTATAATAAATAAATATTTAGCCTACACATTAAATCATTGTATATAATTACACCTATGCCTAAAAACTCTAAAATCTATAAGATCTGAAAATACAATATTTAAAGTATTTCATTGTATTGAATATAAAACAAATTGTGTAAGTTTGCAATGATATTTTTATTATTTTTATTAACTTATGACATCAAATGTTAAAAATAAATTATGATTAACCTAATGCAATTAGTGGCAGGCAGTGATACAAGATTTATATATATTTATAAATTGACATAATTAACTATTTTAGTAAAGGGTTGCATTCTTTTGTTTGATATTTCAAAAAACCAACCACTCAGCGACTGCTTTTCAAATTTATTATAAAAAAATTTAAAGATCAAACGTAATCAGCGGTGGCTTATATCAACATATTATTTCAAAATTCAATAAACTTGAATCAATTCTAGTATTAAATATAATGAAGCATATATATCGAAATTATTTAGTTTCTCGTGAGAACAATCTATCATGATTTTCATTTTCACCATCTAGACTCTCTAAACCTTTTTCTCTGCTAAAAATTAAAAAATTTAATATTACTTTATGTAATACTACTTAAATCTTATAATACTTTGTAATACTTACCAAATATTTATTTACTAGATTCATAATTGATTCGTCAATTATTATATATTTAATTGTCAGATTTAATATAGTATAGAAAACACTAATTGCGAATGCAACATGTAGCATAGATGCATTATTGTAGTCATTCCAAACTTTTCCTAAAATCTGAGATATATACGAGTCTTTTATATCATCATTAATATATTTGAATAAAGTGTCAAAGAATTTCTTCACAGAAGACAATGCTTTCCATTTGTAAATTTCGGTAGGGCTTGAATTTGTGTTTGTTGGTGATAAATTCTGTTTCCCATACGGAAAATAAAGATTCCTTTATTTTAGATATTAATGAACCTGATGACTTCATAATTTATTATTTAACTATTTAAATAAATAAATTTATTTGTAAGTTTAAAGCTTAGATAAATAAAACGATTAATTAAAATTGTTCTAAGATTACTTCATGCTTTATTTTGCCTTCATATTGTAAAATTCAACATTATTCGCTTAAAGTTTCAAAATAATCAGTATGTTTTAAAGCTATATAATTCTCTGTAGCTTAGCAAAATTCATCTTTTGTGGAATAAATGTAATTTGTTCACAAATCTTTCATAACTTGTTTAATGATAATTTAAATAAATTAAAAAATTAATAATATAATAACAATATAATAAATAGTAATATAATTTAAATATTATTATTTTTGTAAAATCTTTTTCATCTTTGTGACCTACTTTCATTCTCGCGAACTAATCTTCAATTGCCTTCTGTCTTGCTAAAATGAATCTAACTTCAAGTTCATTTCTGAATTTTGCTTGATGATTTTCTTTAAAATTTGCGCATTACTATCTTTACTATCTTTAACAAAATTATCATCTAAGTCATTGATTAAAAATATTAATTATTAATTACTTCAATAAAAAAAATATATAATATAAAAATAATTATTATCTAAATTAATAAACGAATTCCTCCAAGTGGAAAAGTTTATTAATAAAATAATTTGATTTGTCAATTTAAATAAAAATTTTATTTTATTTATTATAATATAATAGCTTTTAATTCTGATTTTTATTATATTATATATATTATTATTATAAATTTAATTAAAAGGCTTAACCTACTTCTTTTTGATGTTAATTGTAGAGATGTATCAGGGTTTCGCTTGCCAGAGATTAAATTGTTAAATACTTCTCTAGTTTTGGTGATGTCTCTTCTTGACATTTTAATTTTTTATAATAAGATTGGTAAAGGTTGTTAAAAGTATTTTTTTTTATTAAAAATTTATATTTAGTTGATGAATTGGTGGAAAATTTTTCGCTAGTGCTCTAAAACCGGTTTTCAATTTCCAGTTTCAAACTGTTTTATTAAGTAACCGATTTTTAAAAAAATTTTAAAAATCCGGTAACCAGTTTTTTATATTTAACGGATTTTCAAATTGAACCAGTTTCTAAATCCAAACTGATTTTTAAATTCAAACCGAAACCTTTCTACATTTCGTTAATCAATCAGCATATAGTCACGAAATGTATGTGTAATATCATGATTTATAATAAATTAGTTTTACTAACACATATAAATTGACTATTCAATGTATTATTTTAAATATTGTTTCTTTGTTCAATTTTATTCCTAAAACATAAATGAAATGTCTGATATAACCAATAAAAAGCGTAAAAAAAAAACTCAAGTATTATTTGGGACTACTATTTTGAGGAGTTTGATGCAGATGAAAATCAACTATATCTTGTTTGTCAAGTATGCAAAAGTAAAGATATTGTTAAGCGTTATAAGTAGTCAAAAGGCATTTCAACTACCACTACTCAAGGACATCTTTGGCGAGATCATAGAATTGATAAAGATCATTCAGAAGAATCAGTAAAAACAGATGATGATATCAGAGCTGCAATAAAATATATTACTTCAAAACGTCAATTATTTTTAGAACAATCACTTATTAATTTTATTATTCTTGATTGTTAACCATTAAATATCCTTCGAAATAATGCATTTCAAAATATGCTTTATGAATTTGAACCAGGATTTAGGATTCCAATTGAAGAAAAATGCAAAGAATTGATAAATAATAGTTATGAATAGACAAAGGAAAATCTTAAAGATTATTAAAATCTGAAGCGGAAAGCATTAGTTTCACAACAGATCTATGGACCTCTCATCGAAATGATGGTTACATTAGTGTAACAATTTCGTGGTTGGATCAGGATATGAAATTAAATGAGACATTAATTAGTATTGAATTATTACCCAATCCGCATACATCTAAAAATATTAAAATTTGCTTAAATTTTATTCTTGAAAATTGGAATTTAAAAGATAAATGCTTTGCAGCAACAACAGATAATGGCTCAAATATCAAAAAAGCAATTTCTTTAATGAATATTGAAAGTATAGGATGTGCTGTATATACGTTATATCTTTCTGTTACAAAAAGTTTAGTTCTATTAAAACAGTTTATTAAAAAAGTTAACAATCTTATTCATTTTTTTGCTTTAAGTCCAAAGTAAATGGGATGGTTAAAAGATGCATAAGAAGATCGAGGATATCCAAAAATACTTGAAATAATTAAAGATGTGTGTACAAGGTGAAATAGTTCATATCTTACTTGAAAAAGGCTATTAGAATTAAAGGTTACAATAAAATGGTTGAAAAATACCTTACATTTAGACTAAAGATGCCAGCCGAAACTCCCTCAAAATAATTTCGTCATATCTCTTACTATGTTTTAATATAGTTTCGGCTATTTATTAATTACCTTTTTTGAGTTTCGTCCCTCATCTTTAATTTGGACTATATAAAAGATATAGAGACAATGGAGATTACTTGAAATTAATAGCACTCACAGATTCAGAATAGACATATGTATTATTTGTTAATTAATTAGGAAACAGAATCTGTTATGGATCCTCAGCATCCCTAAGAACCTTTACTTTTAGGTAATTTAAATGCATGATCATATATAAGATCAGCTAAAAATACAAATTTCAATTGGCTAATTACGCGGTGAAACAGACAGACATTGCATGATTGTGCATTCAAATTTCCTAAAAGTAAAGGTCCTCTGCTATGCTTCATTCGGACAATGATTAAAAATTTATTTATTAAGCTAATATGTATTATTAATTTTTAACAAATTGGATTCTAAGTTTATTACAAGATTTGGTAGATATATTAAAACCATTTTTAGATGCTACTGAACTTTTATCCGATTCAAAATATATTACGTTCAGCTTTGTGTATCCAATGATTTATTTTTAATAAATCAATTTGCATCAATGAACGGAGAATCAGATGATGATTTATTTGATTTAGTTTATGGAACTATACAATCTGAAGATTCTGAAACTTCTAATTTAAATAATGAAATTGAATATGATGCTAATAGAGGTGATGATTAAATTTTAATGTTTTGGAATTAAATATAAATATTATAATAAAATATTAATTAAAATTTATTTATTGATATTAAGATGCAATTAATGATGAAGGAAATGAAACAGATTCAAAAGATGAGTTACTACGAAATTCTATAATTGAACTAAAACTTGTTAGGATTCCATTAAAAGATGTAAGAGGAAGAGGGTGAGGAAGAGGATGCAGAAGAGGATGTGGAAGAATAGGGTTGGCAATGAAGGAAACAGAAGAAGAGTAAATGCAGATCCTAAATTTAGAAATTGACGACTTGTTGAAAATCCAATTAATACCATAGATCTTTTAAAAAAAGTAAAAGCTTCTATTTACTTATCTATGAAAGAATACTGGAATGTTCCAAAACGAGTAGGAATGATGGCAGCAATTTTGGAAAAAGTCTCAAATTTGTTAATAATAACACTATCAAATCTCAAACGATTAGGAAATTACGTGAACTTTATTCTGCTAAGAAATTAGCAAGTCCTTTAAATGATTCTATCAGCAATCCCCAGCAGAATATAACATCTTCATCATCAAATTCCATTATTGCTGCACTCTTGGATGATAATGATAATGATAATAACATAAATGATATTAACGAAGTTGATGTTTATTTGAATTTACAGGTATCAAAACAAAGATGTGACCCTCTTTATTGGTGGAGTGATAATTCAAAAAGATTTCCTTTATTGAGCCAAATTGCACATAAATAATTGTTAATACTTGTAACTTCAGTACCAAGTGAAAGACTATTTTCAGATGCTGGATTGCATATTACAACCCGCTGCAACTGTTTAAGTCCAGAATTAGTTGAAAAGCTTTATTTTTAAAATGAAATATAGCATTATTTCCAATTTTTCCACCCAATAAGTAGTTTAAATGTTTAATATAAATTTGAAGCTTAGAAGTGATCCGTGCTATATGGAAATTTTTGTAGAGAATTTTTGCATTTTTACGTGATTATATCAATCAATAAAGTATATTGATGTAAAGGATTTTGTTACATAAATAAATGTAACATAAATAAATAATACAGTAATAAACTTTTTAAACTTAAATTTTTAGATGTATAATGTTAGTTGATTTATTTAATAGCTTATATAATTTACAATAAAAATAATAAAAATTATCAGTATTAAGTTTCATCATAATGATTAAAGCTCCGCATGAGCCAGCTCGAGCTGGCTCATCATCGGCTCGAGCTGAGCCAAACAAGCTGGCTTATATGGCTTACATTATTAACAAAAATCTGAAAAAAAAATTCGGAGTAATTGAAAAGTTCCAGAAAGTGATTTCCTTCAAGAGAATCATCTCCGAAATAGTTTCCTTCAAGAGAAACGTTTCCAATCGATTCTCTTGAAGCGAAAATGCTTCCAATTGTTTTTTTTAAGAATTACGCTCCTGAGGTGCTATAAATTAAAATAACACTCCTGAAGCATTATTTTTTTAAATTTAACGCTCTTAAAGCGTTATTAATTAAAAATAACGCTCAGAAACGTTTAAATTAAAAATAATGCTCTAGAAGTATTATAAATTAAGAATAATGCTCCCAAAGCATTATTTTTTTTAAATTTAATACTCCAGAAGCATTATTAATTAAAAATAACGCTCCCAAAGTATTATTAATTAGAAATAATACTCCGGAGACATTATCATTTAAAAAAAGAGCTCTGAAGGTGATTTTATTTAAAAACATGCTCTTGAAGCATTATTCTTCGAAAAAAATGTTACCGAATCATTTTTTCTTTGAAGAAATCATTGCTGAAAACATTTTTCTTTGAAGTTAATACTCCTGGATTGTTTTTTTCAAAAATGAAAAATTCAAGCTGACGAGTCGAGCTGAGTCATGAGCTGAGTCACTGTATGAGCTGGCTTGATCAGCTCATGAGTCATTTTATAGCGGCTTGAACTGAGCTTTTGCGAGCTAGCTCGTGAGGCTCGCAAGCTAGCTCGGCTTATTCAGAGCTTTAGTAATGATCATATTATTGCGTCATACATTTTTTACTGCATCTTAAATCATTGCTGATGACAATCAAATCTTTCACAAAAAAAATTTTAATTTATTGTAAACATTGATGGTCATTATTATTGTGATAATTTTATAATATCGCTTTAGATATAAAAAAAAAAATTTTTTATGGAAACCGGTTTTAAATTTAAAACTGATTTAATATATGAAACTGGTTTATAATTAAAAATCAGTTTCATATACTAAACTAGGTTGCAAAAAGTAAATGGTCTATAACCAGATTGCAAAAAGTAAACCGATTTAAAACTGGTTTCTGATATCGTAACCGATTTGGAGCACTAAATCTAATCTACTAAAAATAATATTCATTAGCAACTTTTTTGCTATTTATATTTGAATTTAATAATAACATTTTTTTTTATAAAATCATTTTCTTTACTTTATAATAAAATCATTTATAATCTTAAATTTAGGATAAAGATAAAGATTAAAATCAGTATATTAACCTTTTAAATATGCATAATGAAGCTACAAATCTCTTTATAATAATTTCTTTTCTGCTATTTTGAGTAAATAAGCTTTATTAGTTTAATAGCAAAAAATTTAACCAATTAGAGCAATAATATAAGATAATCAAAATAGCAATTAATAAAAAAAAACTTAGCTAATTAATGGAAAAAAAGTTGGATGATTGTTAAAATAATAAGAAATTTTATATATCACAATATATAAATAGATAAAATATTTGTGAAATAAAAGATTTATCACATATTTTAAAGCAAGTTCAGAAAAAATATTTAATTCAATTGCTAATTCTTATTTAAAAAGAAATAAGGTTTATTTTTTAATATTAATTCTATTAATAATTCAATCAATATCTTTTTTATCAATAACAATTAAATTTGCATATCATTTATCATTTTCTTCATTTATATTATATTTATTCTGATTTTCAACTAGAAATGGATTTAATTCAGATCATTTATAAATGTGAACTGAAAAAGTATCATAAAGAGAACTTTATTTTTTTTCTTTACTTTTCAACATAATATGTTGCTTATAAATATATATCTGTTTATGTTAAAAATGAGAAATAACATCATAATAAAACATTTTTCAATACTTATCTGTTTTATTTTTGTCTGTTTTCTGTGATTGCCTTAAAATCAATATTGAGCAATTGTATAATTTTAAACAGTTTTGGATAGTTTTAAATAGGTTTTGATTATTTTGTAAGGGACTGAATAACTAGTTACAAATGAGTATGTTTAACTTGTTAGTGATAGATAATGCAGTTGATGATGAACATAATTTCATATGGTTAAAAGCTTGCTCAAAATATTTAAAAAAATGTATATTTTAAACCTATTACTACCTTAAGTATTAAAATACAAAATGTTAATGATTCTTAATATTAGCTAAAAAAATTCTCACATATACCTTTTTAATTTCCTTTTTTCGAATTAAATATATTATTAGGTTATTAATTATCCCACCATATTATTCTAGCATAGATAAATTCATTTTCTAAAATTGTTAGGTTTTGAATATTTATCAAAGATACATCTTCAATTTCTAGCAACCTTTTTGTTAACATCCTACAATAAAAGATTAATTTATCATCTAACAAATTTCTCATTCTATCAGGTCAGCAAAAAGATTTTTAAACACAGGTGAATGAGAAGGATTTCTTATGCTTTAGAATTGATTTTGTAACTTAATGAAAAGTTTTGAATAATAAGAAGCAAAAAGAATTCTAATTATGCTACTTATTTCCTATTACTTTAATAATAATAAAAAATGTACTTATGCATAAAGGAAATTGCATACTCTTGCTTTTCTTTTTCCTTTAATATATGAATCTATTTTCTTTCTAAACACTTCCTTTTTATATTTCTTTAAAAATTCGGTAATAATCTACTCTAAATATTTTTGAATAAAAAATTCATATCTCATGTCATAAGATATAATAAATCATATGAAAGGTTTTCTAGAAAAATGGAACTAAAAATCTTTTTTAAGAAAATTAAAAAAAGTTTAGCTTTAAAGCTATTTTAGGTCAGGTGATATATATGATTTATTAACATTTTACATAGAAAAATGGTATTTGCCAGATAGGTTAGGTGAGGGAATTAGGATTGGGTATTTGATCACATCCTGACTGTTCTTCAATTCTGGGAACAGAATATTTTTATGAGATATTTGTCACTTATGAGAACCGGCAAAATAAATCCGGCTACCATTGTTTCAGAGTTGTTGATTTACTAAAAATAGCTCGGGTCATGTGACTTAAATAACCGTAGCAAAACGATCTTTCATTTAACCAATGAAAATCCGTGCCGCTTTTGATAAAGCTTTTGTGTCCTATTTCTCCTTTATCATAAATTTTTTTTTTTATAATTTTCCCACATACTTTCAAACGAACATACGAAAGTCTCTTTTGCTTATAATAAAAGTATTTAAATAAAGTTAATATATGATAAATACGATTTTCACACAAATTGATCATGTGCTTCTTGGTTAAATACGAAAAAAAAAATTTCATTATTTTCAACATTATCATTAATTACTGATTGCGGAGCTTATCGCGACATTCATTCCTTCGAATTATCCTGTTTTCATAGTTCTCACCGATTTAAACAACTTGCTTACAAATGAAAAACAGTTTGCTGGTTTCGGGCTAGTTTACGCATCCATGCTGTATCGATGCAACAGAAGCAACTTCGTGATTTGAAGTAAAGGTGGAAAGGCTAGAGCTATTCTTAAAGGGATGATATTGCGAAACTGAACGATTTAAATGATGTGAATGACAAAAAGAAGATGCCTAATTGGAAGGTAAAACGAGCACTAACGTTTTCAATTAGGTAAAAATTATTATGAGTATGTACTTGTTGATAAATTATATAATGCAGGAAAGAATGAATACTTTTTAAAATAAAATATCAGTATCTATATCAGCATCTACTACATGTGACTGACGCTTAATTAATTGATAAAAAAATTTACCCATATTGTTATATTGTTTCGTTATCTGAAAAATAAAAAATGGTTATATAAAATAATGTTGATCAACTACGCGTTTTCTCAACCAATGGAATAAAATCGGTCCTATGATCGAATAGTTTAATAAATCAGTTTCTCAAGTTCATGATTTTTTCATTTTTTTCTTCATTTTAGCAAAAAAAAAATGAGTACAACTGGTGTAAAGGCCATAGAAGAACCAAAGAAGGTAAATTACTTTTTAAAGATTTTTTTAATCCGAATTGTACTAATAATCATATGAATTTTCTTATCAAAGACTGTTAAAAGAGACGCATTAAAGTCCATTGAACAAAAGATTCAACAGTCATGGGAACATGAGCGTGTCTTTGAAGTTAATGCTCCAACCTTACAAGAAATTTCTGATGATACCTTTTTACATGAAAAATTTCCAAAGTATATGGGAACTTTTCCATATCCTTATATGAATGGAAGGTTACATTTGGGACATTTTTTTACTATTACAAAAGTCGAATTTGCTACCGGATATGAAAGAATGAGAGGTAAAAGAGCTTTGTTTCCTTTAGGTTTTCATTGTACTGGTATGCCTATAAAGGTAATTTACTTTTAAATTATTTTTAAATAAAGGATTTAATTTATAAAGATCACATTTTTCTTAAATCATTAAAATTTGAAACATTGAAATTTCTTATTATCGTATAAAAATGCTTACATTTTATTATTCTTTAAATTAGGCATGTGCTGATAAATTGTTAAGAGAACTTGAACAATTCGGTCCAAATTTTATACTTCCGGAGCAAGATGAGATCGAAGAGGGAATTAAAGATTTAGATTTAAATCGTGATGATGAAAAAACGTCTCAATCTATCATGGATCCATCTGGAGCATCAACAAAAGTTATGCAAAAGAAAGGAAAAGTTGTGGCAAAATCAACTGGCCAAAAATATCAATTTCAGATTATGAAAAGTTCAGGAGTACCTGACGAAGAAATTGCAAAATTTGCTGATGCGAATCATTGGATTTATTATTTTCCTCCTTTGGCTATAGTGGGTATCATTTTAAAGTATATATTGAAATTGTTTCTTAAACGATATTTTAATTTTTCATTAACTGTAACATATTTTTTTTTAAAAAAAAAAACTTGTTTTAGAAAGACTGCAAGTCTATTGGCGCTAAAATCGATTGGCGTCGTTCTTTTGTCACTACAGATGTCAACCCTTATTATGATTCGTTTGTTCGATGGCAAATGAGAAAACTGAAAGCCCTTAACAAGATTAAATTTGGCGAAAGATATACTATATATTCACCTATTGATGGTCAGCCTTGTATGGATCATGATCGGCAAAGTGGTGAAGGAATTGGACCACAAGAATATACTGGTATCAAACTTAAAGTTCTTGAATGGAGCATAGAAGCTGAAAATGTTTTTGGAACATTACCAGAATTGGAAACAAAAGATATTTATTTCGTCGCCGCTACCCTTAGACCCGAAACAATGTAAGTTTACGAAATGATTATAATTTCTCGTAACTTTTATCTAAATATATTTTTTTCTATAATAATTCAAGGTATGGGCAAACGAATTGTTTCGTAGGAATCGAGATAAATTATGGACTTTTTAAAATTAATGATACCGATGTTTTTATTTGTACTCATCGCGCTGCGCGTAATATGGCGTTTCAAGGATATTCTGAAGAACGCGGTAAAGTCAGTCAATTAGCCGAAGTTAAAGGATCACTTTTTATTGGAACTAAGGTTAGCGCTCCGTTGAGTAAATATAAACAAGTTTATGTTCTACCAATGGAGAATGTGTTGGCAACAAAGGGGACTGGTGTTGTTACTTCGGTTCCTTCAGATTCTCCAGATGATTATATAACTCTTATGGATCTTAAGAAAAAAGCTGAATATTACAAAATACATCCTTCGTGGGCTGATTATGAACCTATACCTATTATTCACACTCCTTCTTATGGCGATTTAGCTGCTCCAAGAGTATGTCAGCAAAAAAAGATTAATTCTCAAAAGGATCGCTTGCAATTAACTGAAGCAAAAGAGTTGGTATATAAGGAAGGGTTTTATAACGGCACTATGATAATTGGTGATTATAAAGGACAACCTGTTCAAGAAGCCAAAGCATTAATCAAGGATTTATTGGTTTCCACCAAACAAGGATTCATATATAATGAACCCGAAGGTCTTGTAATGTCTCGTTCCGGAGATGAATGTGTTGTTGCTTTATGTGATCAATGGTATTTGGATTATGGTGAGGAAGAGTGGAAGAAATTAGCGGAAAAATGTCTTAGCCAATTAAATACTTTCTGCTCAGAAACTCGTCATCAATTTGAACAAACACTTGCTTGGTTGAATCAATGGGCATGTGCTAGGAGTTATGGGTTAGGTTCTAGGCTTCCTTGGGATCCTCAATATTTAGTTGAAAGTTTGTCAGATTCCACTATATATATGGCTTATTATACAGTGGCTCATTTACTCCAAGGTATTGAATATGATCAAATCAATTATAATTAGTTACAAGTTTAACAAAAATTTAATTTTTTTTAGGTGGGGCACTCGATGGTTCAATTCCTGGGCCACTTGGCATTCAGGCTTCGGAAATGACGGATAAAGTATGGGATTATATTTTCAATGATGGAATTTACCCAACTTCTTGTTCCATCTCACAAGAAAAGCTTGACGTCTTGAAACGGGAATTCAAATATTTTTACCCTTTAGACCTTCGTGTGTCTGGGAAAGATTTGATTCCTAATCATTTAACCTTTTTTATTTATAATCATGTCGCTATATTTCCTGAAAAATATTGGCCAACAGGTATAAGGTCAAATGGGCATTTACAATTGAATAGAGAAAAGATGAGTAAAAGTACTGGTAATTTTATGACTGGCGGTGATGCCATTGTAAAGTACGGTGCCGATGCTACTCGTGTAGCACTTGCCGATGCAGGTGATGCAATCGAAGATGCTAATTTCGAAGAATCTACTGCTAATGCAGCTATTTTAAGGTTATTTACCTTGAAAGAATGGTGTGAGGTATGTTTAAAAACATAGTAACTTTTTTATGTAAAATTGTTAAAATAATTTTTTTTAATGCAGGAACAAGTAAAAAACAAAGATACTCTTCGTACAGGATCAACAAATAGTTTTCATGACAAAATTTTTGAGAATGAGATTAACAAATTAATTCAACTAACCGACAAGGCATATAATGAGTAAGTTTTAATGAAAATATAACATCAAATGGAATTTCTTTTTATTATATATATTTTCCTTTCGAATTTAGTTCCATGTATCGTGAAGCATTGAAATATGGATTCTATGAGTTACAATCAGCTCGTGATTGGTATCGTGAAGCCACTGCTCATGAGGGTATGCATAAAGATTTGGTTTTACGATGGATTGAAATACAGGCTTTGCTGTTGTCGCCAATAGCTCCACATTGGTCCGAATATATTTGGAAAGATATCTTGTCAAATGTGAGTGAAAGTACTTAAATCTTTCTTGATTAAAGAATTTAATTATGGTAACTAACTTTGAAATACATTATAGGAAGGATTTATTGTTAACGCTTCTTTTCCCACGCCATCAGCTCCTATTGATGAGGGATTACTTGAAGCAACCGAATATGTTAGAAAGATTGTCAAATCCGTACGCGATCTAGAAATAGCATCACAAAAGAAGAAAAAAAAGGGTAAAGGAGAGAATTTTGATCCTTCGAAACCTAAATCACTTAAATTATTTGTCGCAACACAGTTCCCTGAGTGGCAAGATTTTACTGTTGAAGTCGTAAAACAAAATTATGATGAGGTTAGTATGTAATGTATAATGTAATCTAATATTAAATGATATTAAAATTTTGATATTTATTACAATTTATAGCAAAATAAAACATATGATGATGTTAAAATTCGAGAAGTTTTAGCAGAAAGAGGCATTTTAAAAAATAAAAAGACGATGCCGTTTGTACAAGAATTTAAGAAGAGAGTTGATAAACTTGGAACGATTGCATTTAATCGAGCTTTGTTATTTAATGAGTATGATACACTTAACATGGCTAAAGATTTTATACAAAAAAGTTTAGGATACGATAAAGTTGATATTCTTAGATGTGATGAAGCAGCAGATGATGAAAAAATTGCTGTTGAAATAGCTGTACCTGGTGAACCAGGAGTTCTATTTAAGAATATTGCACAATAGGTTTAAGTAAACTAATACATATTCTTTATGTAAATAAATTATCAAAGCAATATTGTTCAAAATTTATTATTAATACAATGAGTCGAATTTATACTTTTACAAATAAAAGCAAATAAAATTTATCTGCAAATTTATTGAATTTAGTAAATTTTAACATTTTTGTTAAAAATCGAGAAGTTTATCCAAATTCGACAGAGTTTTTTTTACTGTATTACTGTAAATGATTATTATGCATGCCATTTTTGAATACAAATTTTTAAATATACGCAATACTCTGCATAAAAAAAAATACTATAATGTTTCTTAGGTGCGTTACGAAAAATATCTTATGTGATTTTTTCCCTAATTATCCTGACCTGTTTGATGTGATATAATTCTATATCCGGCTGTAGAAGGAGCTCCTCTAACGATAAGCGGGTTCAATCAGTAGGATTATTTGTATTGTAATAATCAAGAGTACCGAAATTCCACTATAGAAATTTGGTAATTTTATTATAGATTAAAAATTTGCCATTTAAACTGATTGCAAGAAACATCAATAGCGTGGTCCTGTTACTGCTATTGCCTTCCTGGTATTGGTGTCAACTGGAGGAGTCGAGGTGGAATTGGAGGTTTTGGAATAATGTTCAAACTTGGATATATAGCGATCGATAATGAGCTATTATAGGACATGAGTAGATTACAAAACTGATAACAAGCCTAAGTTACTCAAAGGAATTTTTCTTACTTAAAGCACCAAGAACATGTATTGGAGGATAAACGATGACACCTCCGTTAGGAACATTAAAATAAGCTAGAAGCAATGCAACAACAAATGGACGTGCCCCTTCCATTTCAACTATAAATACGTTTCCTCTTGAATCAATATCAAATTTATATTCAAGTGTTTCGTGGCGTTCAAAGAAAGCATCAATTTTTCCACTGACAAATTCCAGCCTATCTGTAAAGGCAAACTATCAGTACTGTGCGGAACTTAATCCATCTGAGTGATGTCCACCTACGTTCTCTCTTTTAGAGCACTCTAAAAATTCCTTTCTAGGGACAGAAATCGATTAATCATTTTCGAATTGTTGAAAAAAGAAAGATATCACATATTTTTTATCACAAGTTAATTCAAAACCAGACAACCTAAATGTGACAGGTTACGCCGGTAACCTTTTTGTATGCAAATCTAATCCTTAAGCGGTAACCAATTTTTTTGCGAATCAATAAAAGCTGATGACTACTATGATGATGTGAGTTACATTTTTTAAGCAATATCATATAGTAATAATTTCCCAGTCTTGACAAGTTTATTTAGAGCGACGGATTGGATTTTTGCAGTAAAATTTGATTTGGTGCGCTGAATCAAAATTATCCGATACATTTGATTTATAGTATAATAGGTATTGAGTATTAATTTCGGCAATTTTTTTCGAATTTACATGGATTTTTTTAAAAATTTTATAAATTTTATTTCTAAATTAATATAGCTTTTTACATGTTCAATAAATTATTAAAAAATTTGACGCAATCTTTGCTTCAAATTGCAATAGAATTTTTTTTTTTCTTTTCTTTGAGCCCGTATTTTTTTCAAGACCCTTTGTCAAATTCTCTTTTTTCAAATCTAGTTTGTTGAAAAGTCCCTCAACCTGTTGTTAGTGAATAACAATAAAATATAAATGTGTTTTAACAAAATTATAAAGATGAGGAAATTTGTATAATATAGGATTATCAGTCTTGCAATAATATAGTTTATCTTTATCACTTGAGTTATATTCATTGTATAAGTTTCATGCTAAATAAAGAAGATTATAAGGATGTAAATTTTGAGAATTCAGAAGGATTTTTGAGAATTCCAAATGCTTCTTATTCAAAATAGTTAAGTATAATTTACATAATATATAGTTCACAGCTAATTTGAAATTCATTTACATTAGTTTTTTTATTAAAAAAAGCAATTATATCTTTTTATTTGAAGACATACATATATATGCATTATTATCTGTAATCCACAATATACATTTTGTAATATTAAGTTTTACTTTCTGAATAAATTCAATAACAGTATTTATACAGTTTTACTATTACATTTTGGAATATTTAAAAGATTTGCTATTATTACATTAGGAGCTTACTTTTGTTCATTTCAAACTTGATAACAAATAATAAAATTTTTTATCTCTTTATGAGTAGATTCATTAACCATAATTTTATAATATGCATTTAAAAAATTTGAGTTGTAATATAAAGCTAAGATGCTAGATATAAAGAGAAGAAGTTGATAGTCAATTTTGAGAAAGTTTTTCAATTAAAAATTTATAAAAAATTTTTGGCTCGCCAAAACTCCCTCAAAATAATTTTATCATACCCCTTACTATGTATTTAATATAGTTTCAGTTAATTTCAGATTTCGGAGTTTCATTGTACTCCTCACTATGTTTTAATATAATTTCAGTTGTTTATTAATAGCTTTTTTTGGATTTCGTCCCTCATCTTTAATCGTAATATTTCTAATTAAAAAAAACTTTTTTTAATGTAAAAAAAACCCCTCCTATTATTACTAATTAAAAAAAACTTTTTTTTAACATAAAAAAAAATCCTCCTATCATTACTAATTAAAAAAAAACCTTTTTTTTAACTAAAAAAAAAACTCCTATTATTACTAATTAAAAAAAAAACTTTTTTTTTAATGTAAAATACCTGATTATTACTAACTAAAAAAAACTTTTTTTTAGTGTAAAAAAAAATCACTTACTCCCATTATTATTTATTAAAAAAAATGCATATAAAACACATTCTTTATAACTAAAAATAAATATAATCATGTTAAAATTTATTAAATTAAATAAAAATTAAAGATTGTAGGCATTAAAAAATAATTTAACCAAAAATTGCAGATTTTAAATAATTTTCAAAAATACCTAAAATAATTGAAGGTTCATTTAAATCATCAAGTCTTTTCTCATTTAAACCTAAAAATTCATCAGCAGAACTTTCTGACCTTTTGATTATTATATATTTTGGTGGTATTTTTTTGAATGCCATCTTTTTAGTATAACCTTAAAAAATAATTTATGAAAATATATTTTATAATGTATAAAATAAAAAAATTATACTTACTCATATTATTTTGCTTAGTTTTACGTTTGCTATTCATATTTTTAGAATGAAATAAATAATGAGGGAATTATAATAATTGTTAAGGAAAAATCATTTTTACGATAAGAAAAAAATTCAGCCAATATGAAAATAGATATCTTTTATATCTTTTTAAAGGGCTGTGCACAAAAGCTGTGTATAAAGGCTGAATACTATCTAATAATCTAACCAAAAAGGTTTATTCAACAAATGTTTAAATCAATTTAGTTTTTTATTAAAAAATACGATTTGAATTTAATAAATTAATTAATGAAATTAGGCAAATTTGAGTTTAAAAATATAAACAGGAAATTAGTGATTGAAACTTGGATTAGTCTCAGAAAACTGGTCTACAAATTGGTTAATGGACCAGTCTATATAGTTTTTGGTCAATAATTTTATAAATGCTTCAGACCGATTTATACAAAGGTTGTGAAAGGCTATGCATAAAGGCTAAATGCTGTATTACATTTAGAGTTACATAAATCACAAAAGATATTAAAAATTTTTACAGTATTTTTTTTGTTCTAAAATGTAACAAATTCAATAGCAGGAAACATTTTAACAACAAAAAGAAATTGATTATACGTAAAAATAGCTAGAATAATGTTATATGCAAAAGATTAGTTTCGTAATTTTAATTAATTAGAAAATTATCATGAAACTGCAATATATAATATAAAATGGTAAGGAATTAAAAAAAATCCTTTTATTGATATAAAAAAGCAGTAATAAATAAAAAATTTTCATTTTACAAATTGATAAAATTTTATTATAAAAAATAGTATTAAATAAGTTCTTCAACTCAAATATGACTCTACTGTGACTTTTGGTTTTTTTATTAATAATTTATCACAACAATACCAAGGTAAATAAATTTTAAGTTTATAGTATAAAAAATATTATTTTTAATTTATATTATCTAATTTCTATTTTTATTATGCAGTTTTAACACATTTTTATTTAATAATCATTTTTCAATTACAATGATGTAAAAAAGTATGAGATGTATAAGATTATAATTGCAATGATGAAGATTTTCAATTGCAATAATGTGAAAAAAATATAAGATAAATAAGATTTTAATTGCAATGATTTTAGTTTTTCAATTTCAATAAAATGAAAATAATTAGATGTTAGAAAATATATTTACATAATCAATGATTTTGTAAATATAAAAGGATAATATTTTTCTCATTATCAAACATTTCAATTTAATTTTGCAAAAAAAAATATGTGAACAGACAAACAACTCAATTTGCTTATAAAAGAAAAAAAATAATAATAAATATTATGATCTTATTAGGAACAGGAGGATAAATTTTTGGAAAATGGTTGCGTTGAAGATTAATTTAAATTTGAAATAGGGTATTCAGAAAAGCATTGCAAAGAAAAATTTTAAAGTTTGATACGTTGCTATAATAAAATAAGCAAAATAGTTTATTATTATTAAAACTTTAATTCTGTTCATAACTAATTTATAATTATATTTTATTAGATGAAAAAAAATAAAAAGACCAGACTTAGAAAGAAGTTTTATAATAAGTTTAGTATGGAATTTTGGAAGGAGCCGGGTAATTTTTCACTTCTTATTTCTTATGATCATCATATCTTATATAAATTATATAAACTAATTTAATCTTTTATTAGTTAATAGTATTCAAGAGAACGGAGGAGTGAAAGAAAAGAAAGAAGAAGAGGAAGAAGAAGAGGAGACATATGGATGGATGATGAAAAAAATGAAGGAGAGGATAAAGGAAGTTATGAGGGCAATAGTAGTGGTGTTGGTATGATGTCAATTGCATCAATTTACAATTAAATAAATTTTTTAAAAAAATAATTATTAATTTTATTTTATAATGTAACCAAATATAAATAAT